ATCTCTAGTCTTGAGAAGGCTAACAGCGTAGCTTAGAGCGTAGGGGCGTCTAAAAGGCGTATATAGAAGCTTAGAGTACTTACAAAGGGAGCTAGAGAGGATATACTAACTTAAGATAAGGCTAACTAGTAGATTGCTTATAAAGAGCGTTAAGGAGGAGCACGATTAGGCCTTAGCTAGCGGGCTTAAAGGCGCTGCACTAGGTGTAAGGAGACCGGGCATAGCACATATGTAACGCTAATACTATTAATATAGAGTAGTCTACTATATTAATATCTAGCAATAATATTATCGCGTTGTTGAGATATATCGCTTTGAAGCTGCAAAAGTTGGTGGGGTGCGCCGCTCGCTTGCCAACTATGTTATCTTAGAAATAACGTGGTTCACAAGCGAGTCGCCACCCCAACCGAGTCGCCACCCTAACACAATCGCCGCGCCTAAGCAGCAACTTTATGTAATACCGTAACCACATTAATTACAAAAGTCCTATACTAAGGGTGATCTACAGCTTACTATCTTAGACATTAAATTATATTAATTTTAAAGTAATAAACGCGCTGCAGCTGCCTATAACGTCCCTTAGAGAACGCTTATTAACTAACGCGCTAGACAACGCCCTTTACGCGATTATAAGCTAAATATAAAGCGCCTTACAAAGCTAGAAGAGGAGGTAATTATATAGTATATACGCGACGAGTCTTTCTATAGAATACTGCCCTTAAAGGCACACGTACGAGATATAGCTAATAGACTACTACGCGATTATAGTAGTGAGCCTATAGGTAAGAACTAGGTTAATAACTTTATATAATATACATCTAAGCTATGTATACGCTAGAGCCGTCTGTATAATCGCTAGCGAGCTCTCTACGAGGATCTAGTAGTTATTAGGCTATAGTTTAGCCTAGTTTAATTAATAAAGACGAAATATAGTATTATAGATAAGGACACTTAGAACTTTAATAAGTTAGGCTTTATAATAAGTACAATATCTTCTTAGCTTATAGTTATAGGCTTAGAGAAACCTAGGAAATAGAAGAAACTACAGCTTAGTAATCGCGAGTAGGTAACTCTAGTCTAAGGCGTCTCTATAATAAGGCGTGTTATCTTACCCTTCTTTATCTTTATAGGCAAAGTCCTTATTACCTCCTAGTTCGCAGATCTGCCTTATAATTAGATTATTACACTCTTTTACTAGCTAGATTAATAATAACTTTACGCTAGCCTAGCTTAAGCACTTTAACGCCTATATAAAGGCGTCTTCTACTAGGGCGTATAGACTACTTATTATTAACGGCTATAAGAGCTACTGCTTAATATAATTTTAAGACTACTATAAGAAGAATAAGATTATCGCTCTCTATATACTACCTTACGTATCGCACCTCTTATAGCCTTTTAACGTTATCCCCTACTCGCTATTAAAGCGTACGTACAGCGATAAGATCTTGCTCTTAGCACGTAGCTATATTTACTATATTAATAAGGAAACTTTTTTACTAGCCTTTAAAGTAGCTTATAAGAAGACGTTTGTTGGAAGGTCTATAGCACTAGTGCTGAAAGGAAATAACGATAACTAGGAATGCATTCTGTTCGGTGATGGTGATTGATTTATTACGAACACAGCTGCTACGAAGGTATACCTAAGCTCTGCGCAAGGTGGGCCGAAGTCGGGCCGAAGTGTCCAGCAGCCGACGTCTCTACCGATACTCACGATCCGACACTGGAAGTCTTTTCTTTCTGGGTAGCTAGTAACTCTGCTTGTATCGGTAGTGACAGTATGTGTTGATGGTAACTGTGTGTAGCATCAACCATCAAAGCTTGTCGGCCTCTGCACCCATCCCTCTACTCGGACTGTCAGCTTATTGCCGTCAATAAAGCGTTCAAGAGCGCGGTTTGGCGATGCCTTGGTGAAGGCGTCTGCAGGATTGTCTTCACCATTGATCCAGCGGATCTCCGTGATCTCGCGACGCTCATATGATTGGCGCAGCGCCATGATGTCGATCATGAGACGCTTTTCCTTCGTCGTCCCAAGCTTTACTAGGCACTCGTACAAGGAGTACGAGTCTGTACAGATAACCAAGGGAATTGCAGGTAGTCTAAGTCGTTCTGTAACTATCCTCAGCGTGGTTGCAACTGCAATGCCTATGTCAAAGCCGTTGACCATGCCGTAGATCTCTGAGGCCAGTACGCTCCGTGTGATGCGCTTGCATTTTGTAGAGCTGTAGTGGATCACGTTGCCCTGTATTGTGAAGGTGTTGACGTCAATAGACTCGTTGACGAGCATAAGGACAAAGCCTAGCTGTGAGCTGAGGTCCTTGTTGTTGGCAAAGGAGCCATCCACAAAGACCATCAACTTGGCCTCCATAAGATTGACAGTGACGTAGCGCAGGCCACGATCGAGATTCTCCATCTGCCATTTCAGGCGTTTGTTGAGTGCCTTGATGTCCTCGTCTGATGGTTGCTGAGCTTGAGCAGCGACGGACAGGTCAAATGACGCCTCTGGTTGGCATGTTGATGCGATGTACGCTCCGCGGGCGCGCTGCTCGGTGTACTGTTGCGCGCGGTCGGGTGCCCTGATATCCACAAGCCTGATCCTTCCTCCTTGTCCTTTCTGCCTAAGGGTCAAGACTCTGCTGGCGTCCATCGTGAGTGTACATCCATTGAAGTCTAACTGCACTTCTGGTGTCAGCCTTGCTTTTGGCTTTGACCTGAACTCTGCCTTCTGGATCTTCTTCTCTTCACGTGACGAGAACGCTGGTGTCCCGAGCATGAGAGTGTCGTCTGTCTGCATGCCAACGATGCCGAAGATGCCTGCGTCGTCGCTGTTCGTGATCAATAGGCATGGGTCGTACGTCGATGTTGCCATGTCCAGTTCCTTGCAATGGTGTCCGTGATACGTTGTCCACCAGTGGACTCCTGCCTCAGCGATTCCATACAGCGGCTTGATCACATGGAGTAGCGTGCCTTCTGGATATCGATGGACTAGCTCAGTAGGAAGATGTGCGAGTATCGTCCTCTTCAGGGTTGTCTGCGCCTGGGGATACGCCTGCGTAATGTCACGGAGCTCGATGTTCATTCCGCGTTGTACCATCTCGGGCGCCAGCGACATAATCAGGCGCTGGCTACATCGCTGTATGGTTGGAGATTGCGTCAGAATAGTCTCCTTGCCGTGGTCCTGGTAGCCTTGGATAACTAGGCGGGATTTCTCATAGGGCTTGGTTGTCTTTCCCTTGACCTCACGTACTAGGCGTGACTTGAAGATCCGGATCTTGCTGTGTAGCCTCTCGTCGTATTGCTCAAATTTAAAGACTCCACGACCTACGAGGTCGCTAATCTCTTGGTCATCAGACGCTTCAAAGGGGGCGCCTGAGGTTGTGATCACTCCATCGTTTCGTAGCTTGATAGCTAGCTCAAGATCGTCCTGCTCCTTCTTGGTGATGTACGCGTGCGCCTTCCGCTTGTTCTTTGACCCTGGAGGGCGGCCTCTCCTGCGTGGTTGCACTGCCGGTGGTACTGCTACCGGCTCATGCGGCTCATTCGGCGCGTGTGGCGCATCGGGGTCGCTCCAAAGGTGGTCCGGTCTGTAGTATGGCTTGACGACAGTGGATCTGAATGTCGTTGGACCATTGACCATGTCAACAGTGACGTTGTGGCCATCTGTACTGGCGATCTTGTACGGGCCATTCCAGCCATCACTCTCTCTCCATACTAAGACTTCGCTCTGGAGTGGGAGCGCGAGCATGTCTGCAGTGGCTGGTCCATTGCGGGTGTTCAAGGCGTCTGCAACTTGGTGCTCTGCCGTGATCTTGCGTAGGGCTTTCGTCGCCTTTTGAATAGCCTCGCTGCGCTTGACCATTGACGGGGATGGCGGTGACTCTGCAGTCATTCGTGGGTACGCTCCAAAGACCAGTAGCGTCGGGACTAGTCCATCGGGGCCAGCAGTATCGTTGACAGCCTTCACAGCCATCTGGAGAATCGCGTCGTCGGACATAGTGTCAGTGAGTTCTGCATAGAGTATGTCCCATGCGCGGCGTAGAGGTGCATGGTACCTCTCAGTTTTGCCGATAGACCAGTGCGCCTCCGTAGGTACTTGCTTGCATGTGACTCCCATGATCTTTGCTTCTGCGCGGAACTCTGTGCTTGCAAAGTTAGTGCCTGCGTCATGCGTGATAATGTCTGGTGGTCCTTGATACGTGTCGATCCATAGTATCCGCAGTGCTTGCCATGTTTCTTTAGCTGAGATAGCGCTAAGGAACCTCGCGCCTTGAAACGCTGTTGAGGAATCGACCACATGCAGTACAGGTTTGTTGCTCAGGTACATCACATCCACCAGGATCTCATAGTTGAAGTGGTGATCATCCTTGAGAGTGAATTTGAATCGGCGCGGTGCGGAGCTGTGGAGCTGGCAGTGGTGGCAGAACTTAGTGACTTCTTCTAGGGTTCTTTCTTCGAAGTCGTTATGGCCAGCATCCTTTAAGAGCTTAACAAGTCGCGTGACAGCTGGGTGTCCAAATCGTCGATGGAGCCGTCGCAACTCTGTCTCTGTCAGGAACACAGTTGCTCTCTCTCTTTTGTTCAGATGGAACCAAGGATGTCCCCATTTGCGAATTACAGGGATGTGTACGTCACCCTGGACTAGCTCATCTGTGGTGTTGTTAAAGTAGACCTTTAACCTGTCCATGTCTGCAAGGCACAATAAGAATGGTGTAGGTGCGTCAAGCACCTCAAAGTTGATCGTCCCAATGTCTGTAGAGACCTGTGCAGTGCCAATAGATGATGTAGCCTCGCCCTTGCCGAATTTGATAGATGCCTTTCCTGCTGTAGACGTATCCATCCTAACTGTAGGATCTTCCCTTGTGAGTGCAAGGTACTGCTCCTTGCCAACTGTGGATACGTTGGCAGCGCCTGTATCCGGTAGGATCCCTTGGTACACAGATCTTGTGTAGCGGTCTTCAAGCAGGAACTGTGACGCTGGCGCTGATGGCGCGTCTTGGCGGTATACGTCGTCGCCAGAGATGTGGTGCAAGAACGCCTGATCTGCAAGGCATTGCTCCGTGAAAAACTGCTGTTCAAGGTATGCTTCCGCGACGTCGTCATCGTCTTCCTCCTCTCTCCAGCCTCTCTGATTGTACTGGCTAGTGTGCTCGATCCCTTCGTATTCTGCAAGATGTACGGAGAAGTCCTTGGGGGGCTGTGTACCTGTAAAGTATAGCGTAGAGAAGAACTGTGTACGGGCAGCCTTGCGCTCTTCGTCTGTGTGGTTGGTAGACCAGCATCCTTCCTTCTGGCAAACAAAGCATTTCTTCCTCCAGCGAGGCTTAAATCCTCGTCCGTTGTCGTCGCGCTGCTCGCCTCCTCGATATGCTCCTCTAGATCCGCCTCTGAATCCTCCTCCACCTCGAGATCCACCTCGGATTCTTCCATTGCCGTTGTATCGGCGATCTAAGTAGTATTGGTCCTCTGTGACCATCTGGGTAGTGTGTTGCCGTGCAAGGTGTGTCTCAACTGCAGAACGTAGGTCTCAGAAGAGTCCTTCACAGATTGTGGCTGGTTTGAACAGTGCCATCTCAAGCTCTGGTACTCCTCGGCAGGCATTGATGACAGTGGTACGTAGGGCATCCTCGCCCTCAAAGTTCTTGCCAAGGGCACGCTGGCATAGCTGCAGCTTGTCAAGCAGGATCTGCAGAACCTCGTGTAGTCCCTTGTCGGGGTTCTCTGTGCGGGTGCGAGCGAAGGTTGTAGTCGTCCAGTCTGTGTAGTAGTGCTGGTGATGGACGTCATGGTCGAAGTGGTTTTTGATTGCCATGTACGCATCAGCAAAGCTGTCATCTCTCTCTACAACCTGTATGTAGAATGTCTCTGCACGTCCGGTAAGGATACGGGGAAACACTGCGTGAAACTGCTCTTCTTGGATATCTACCTGCCAGCAGATGCTGAAGAAGATCTTGATCTTATCGTCTAGGAGATCGTACGCATTCCCTGTATACTTGTTGCTATTGTCCCATAGCTTAGAGAACTGCGTGATCGTATTAGCGTCGAGTCGATCGTTGCGGGACCATCGCGGCGGTAGCGTCTTGTACGGGTCGTATGGTAGTTCGGGTGGTCTGTTAGGGACGCGGTTCGTTGGCTGTTGCGGAAATGGCGTGACTTCGCGATATGCAGTCGCTGGCGGCCGTGTCTGTAGTTGCGCACGCCCTTGTTGCGGCTGCGCGGCCTGCTCCCACAGTTGTCGATGCTGAGGCCCTTCTAGCGTACCGCTCATGTGTAGCGGCTGTTGTGGCTCTATTGTTTGGGAACGGCTCTGGACGCCTTGTCTCACTCTATACTGCTCTTGTTGCTCGCCCTGCGACGGTCGTTGTAATTGCGACGGCTGTGGTACTTGCGGTGGCTGTTGTAATTGCGGCGGTTGTTGTAATTGCGGCAGTTGTTGTACTTGCGGTGGTTGTTGTACAGCTGGATAGACTGTGTGCTGAGTGTCCTGTTGGCGTTTATTGCTCTGCTGGCGCTGGTACGCTTCGGACTGTTGGTCGAATTTCATGGCTCGAAACTCTGCTGGTTCCCATTCAAGAGTATTCTCTATACCTAGAATGTTGTAGAGAGAGTCCGCCACCCTGGCGTGATTGTTGCCAGTGTATACTCCCCGGTGTCGTAGCACACTCTTAAGAGACCTTAGTGTACCACGCTCAACCTTGCTAAATAGCTCCTTCGTCCATCCTTCAAAGTCCCATTTGTAGTCAATGAAGAGGTCATCGTCCCAGGCCATTGACACATTGTAGTCGTGGATAGCTTTAGCGACCCACGTTGTTGCGTGTGTCTCATTTGCGTCCGCCGGTGCGGGTACGCCCCAGAGAGCTGTATTGATGACCTTGAGTGCAACTGTGTATGGACAGTTTTCCATAAGTTGTTCCGCGGTAAATTTGGCCCATGGTGAGTCTGAGAGGTGTTCTGATTGCTCATTCTGTAGTTGATTCTGAGCTTCAGCAGAGTCTGCAGAGCTTATTTCGCTTTGGTTATCCGCCATCTTGCTAGCGGGTGTTGACGCGTTGTCGGTGTTGTTGTCTCGCTGGTTGGTCGTGCCAGCGCTTGTTGTTGTACGTGATCGGATCGTCCGGAGACGCTCGTACGGTTGAGTTGTATTGCGTTGCTGACGCGCTCTGTGTTCGCGGATTAGGCTAAACCAGCAGCTGTAGAGGGAGGTTAAGAGTGCTTCGTGTTATCTCTGCCTCGCTCTGTTCTTAGCACAGAATCTTCTCCCGGGAGTATAACGTCGTGCGTCAGGGAGTTCGTCGAAGATGCGGTCTGTCTCTTCTACCTTGCTGTCTGTGATCGCCTTAAGCAATCACTGATCAGTGTTGGAAGGTCTATAGCACTAGTGCTGAAAGGAAATAACGATAACTAGGAATGCATTCTGTTCGGTGATGGTGATTGATTTATTACGAACACAGCTGCTACGAAGGTATACCTAAGCTCTGCGCAAGGTGGGCCGAAGTCGGGCCGAAGTGTCCAGCAGCCGACGTCTCTACCGATACTCACGATCCGACACTAAACCTCGTCTTTAATTGTAATCTGTGTATACTACGCAGCTCTCTTTATTTACTTCTATCTTCTATATATATCTCTTCCTCTCCCGAGTTTCTATTATATACACTAACTATATTAACCGCTAAACTCTCCTCTACATAGCTAAACCTCGAACATATCTTCTCTACAATACTAAGTAAATAACCAGCTGTGCCTATTAGATAACTGTATTAGGTTTCTTATACATACAGAGACGCGTTGTAACGAAACGGAAGTAAGTATGTTGATACGGCTAAGGTATCGGAATCACCTTCGTTGCAACGAGTTGAAATGATTGTGATTGTTCTTGTTGTTCTATGGAGGTGGAGGGAGGTCGGCAGTAAGGCAGCAGCTAGAGCTCGGACCACACGGCTTAGTCAGCCGTGTAATCCAAGCTCGTGCATGCAGCAACCAGCTGCCTTATCTACCGCAGGTTCGATTCCCAACACTGACTATCTTTTCTTTTTGTGCCGGGAGATCAGATCCGTCCCCAAATCCTCCAAATCTGTAATAATATCCTGCTGCCGAAATGTAGCTAGTTGCCTATCTCGGCTAGCGCTATACGCCTTCCTGTATGCCCTTATGTCCTCCTCTTGTGTCCTTCGTTATCGCGCACACGTGCCCGTTGACTACTTGGTGCCTTCAAGGTTGCTGAGCTCGGTGCTCTCGGTCGTGGGCTTGGTGTTGCGATCACGGTTGACCCACCCTTGCACTCGGAGGTTGAGCTCGTTAGAGTTGATGAGGTTCTCTATCGCGGCGTTGCAACCTGCCTTTGTCATAGAGTCTGCTGGGTTGTCGCGACCGTCGATCCATCTGATATCCATGAGTTCGCTGCGCTCGTAGGCTTCGCGCATTGCCATGATGTCAATCATAAGGCGTTTCTCCTTGGTGGTGCCGAGCTTGACAAGGCAATCGTATAGCGATCGCGAGTCGGTGCATACCACGATGGGGACCTTAGGTAAGTTGAGTCGTTCCATGACCATATCAATGGTGCCGCCGATCGCGACTGCGATATCTACGCCGTGCGCCATCGCGTAGATCTCGGAGGCGAGGACGCTCCTGGTGATCCGCTTGCATTTGACTGAGGACCAGTGGACGATGTTGCCACGTATCCCGAAGTTTGTGTCGCTTGAGGTGACTTCATTGCCGAGTACGATGACGAATCCCATCTGGGAGCTCATATCCTTGTTGTTGGCAAAGGACGCGTCGACTAGGGTAAACAGCTTGAGGTTGCGTATGTCCAGAGGTACGTAGGTCAACCCATGGCAGAGGTTCTTCTTTTGCCATTCGATGCGTTTGTTTAACTTGGATATTTCTTCTTTTGTAGGCTCACTCGCTTGCGCAGCAGCGGCGAGGTCGAAGCTTGCTTCGGGTTGACAGATTGTCGCGATGTAAGCGCCACGTGCGCGTTGTTGAATGTACGTCTTTCTTGTCAGTTGCGATCTCCCAGTTTCTCACCTTGTTTCTCTTTTGGGCGTAGTGTGATCCCCGCCCGTCTGTTGGGGAACCTACCGACGCACCCGTTAAAAGTCGATAGGGGTGGTTAGAAGAAAGAAACTGTTTTTTTTTTGGGGGGGGGAGGGGGGGCTCCCTCTTTTTTTAAAAGGAAAAAAAGGCATGGGAAAAGCGGAGGGTGTTTTTATTTTTTAAATACCCAAAAAAAACAAAACTTAGGGCGTGTGGGTGGGGTGGTGAAGAGGGGGGTGGGTTAAG